AAATTACATAAAACCATACTTTAACTATTCAACCTTCTAAAATCAGATTCAAAGTTTCATATTTCAATAATCAGAAATATTATTTTAATCAATATTTTATAAAATAAATATTTTACTAATATACTCAATTATATACACATTAATCTCCACCGGATTTCATTCTTATTCCCTTTCTTCTCTCCACACTCTCTCTCCTCCCAAAAGGCACCGACTTTGTCTTTCTTCTCTCCACTGTCTCTCTCTGAACTTTATTATTTTCTACCAGTACCGGCACCGCCACGGCTACTGGGAATCATCACAGCATCATCTGAGCGCCACTACTATGAAATCGTCGTCGATCTGCCGTGCCGCTGAAGGAGGAGCTCTGTCGAAAGAGGGCCTCTGGCGCTGTGAGATCGGACCGGAGCGTTGCTGGGCACGGTAGCAGCATGGGGACCGGATAGATTGTTGCAAGATTTCTATGTTTTTGGTGGTTTTAGGGAGGCTGGTGTGGTTGCAGTGGTGACGATGGTCGTTGGCACAGGTGGTGGAGGTGGCAGATCTATGATGTATTGGTGCTAATTTGTGTGACTTCTGTGTACGGGCGCCGATTGTGTGTGGTGGTTGTGGTTCATTGGAGTAGTGGTGATGGTGGCGGAGATGGCGAAGTGCGGGTGGTGGTTCGTCGAGGTAGTGGTGGTGCTTGTCGCCGTTGGTGCGCTGCTCTGATTTAGGGTATGGATATGATTTTTTCGGTGTTGGTCGGTGGTGGATGTGGCAGTGTGCGGTGGTTTATGGATGGTTTATGGTTCTAGTAAGTAGCAACAGACGGTGGATGTTTTGGTGACGACATTGGTGACAGTGGTGGTTCGTCGATGATGGTTGTGGAAGTGGTGGTCACAAATGTTAGTTACAGTTATTTGGTTGTCTTTGGTAGCGGCGGCGTGGTGGTTTTTGGCGGCAGCGGTGGTTGTTGGTTTTCAGAGTTTGGTGTGTGGTGGCGGTGTGGTTATTGTGACGGTGACTATGCGTTGATGTGGTGGTGGTTTTGCAGTCTGGTGGTGAGATGACGGTGGTGGTGGTCGGGGTGTGGTGGTCGGATGGGACGTGGGGTGTTTGTGACCAATAAATTGGTTAATTGGTGTCCAACAAATAATATGTGACTTTAAAAAATGTAATTGTAACCCATAATTTATTAAGTTGTGACTGTAAAATTAATTGTGACCAATAAATTTTGTTTTTGTGACTAATTAATGAATTGTGAGTTATGAAATTTTTGATTTGTGACCGATAAATGAGTTGTGATCAATAAAAAATTTATTTTTGTGACTGATCAATTAATTGTGACTTATGAAATTTTTGATTTGTGATCGACAAATGAGCTGTGACTAATAAAAATTTTGATTTTGTGATCGACTAACGAATTGTGACCTAAGAAATTTTTGGTCCGTGACCGACAAATAATTTGTGACCTATAGAATTTTCAATTTGTGACTTAGAATTAATTAATTTGATAAGTGAAGGTTTGGTGGTGGTCACAGATTATTTGATTAATTGTAATTATTAAATTGATTAACCCGTGATTAATAAACAATATGTGACCACCAAAAAGATAAATTGTGACAAAAAATAGTGTGTGACCTAAAATAATAATAATTCGTGACCTATAATAGTTGTGATCTGTGACTTGTAAATAACTTGTAACGTATAAATTTTTTATCCGCGACAAACAAATCGTGACTTACAAAATTTTTGAATTGTGACCATAAACAGAATTTGTAACCTTAAATTTTTTGATTTGTGATCGAAAAGCAAGTTGTGACCAATAATTTGATAAGTTGTGATTAAAAATTAATTTGTGACTAATTAATTTTTTTATTTGTGACCGATAAACAAACTGTGGCTTACAAATTTTTTGAATTGTAATCGTAAAATAATTTGTGACATGAATTTTTTTATTTGTGACCAAAAAATAATAAGTTATTAATTAAATTGTTAATTTGTGATCAAATTGTATAGATATGTGACTTAAATATATTTAATTTATAAAATAATTAATTAATTAATTTAATAATAAATAAATTTTAATAAAAATTTGATTTTTGAAATTTGAAATTTGTTATTTTCTTAATTTTGAAATATGTCATACTTAGGGGCTGTCTGGTAGAGATTATCCCAAAATTTTCATTATAATTCTGAATGTTATACAGGAAAAGGGGCCCCACTGCAGCAGCATTTTTTCACTGCCTTCGTACCATTCAATTAAATTATTTGATAAAAAGACGAGAGTGTCCCTCAATAAATGCATTAAATATGATTAAATGAGTGCATTTTTGACAATTGAAATAATGAAATGATGGCTGTCAGTACTTGTTGTCAATTATTACGGCTGAAGTTTGTGCAGCAGACCTTTACAACGATAAAATTTTCGATAATAATTTTGAGAGAATTTCTACCAGACAGCCCTTAATCTCTCACTTACCAAATTTTCCCTACTTTTAAACTTGAGACAAAAACCTAAACGGGCCGGCCGCCGCAACACTATATATACCGTCTAAAGCAACTATCAAAACCCTAGTTGCGAAAGAGAGGTTGAGTGCTTTTACAGTATTTTCTCTCACATCTTCGCGGCTACCTCCTTGTACCTTGCAAGATGAAGGTATTTCTCTGAACTGCACATACGCACGCAGTCATAAAATTCAATTTTTGCAGAATCTACGCTTCTGATGATTTCTGATATTTTTTCTGTTTTTGGTTTAGTTCAACATCGCAAATCCGACGACCGGGTGCCAGAAGAAGCTTGAGATTGACGATGACCAGAAACTGTATATTTTCCCTTTTTATTACTGCTGCCTCTCTTTTAAAGTTAAGCTTCAAGTAATTTCCTTATTTGTTTCATGGCGATTATTTTAGTACCAGGTTTTTCTTTTCTTCTGTTTTAACGTAATTTAATTTGAATTTTAATACTTTGAAGTGAAATTCCATTCTATTACATTTCAATGTTTTAGATATTGTTACTAACATTATGGTTTGACTGTGTATATAAAAATGTTAATATTGGAGGTTTGGTTTTATATTATTCTATTAGGTGAAACAGAGATATAGACAAATGCATTATTGAAGCATCTTTTAATAATGAATGATGTCAATCGAGATAATATAGTTTTAGTTCGAGTATGATGGGAAATTCTATAATTACAGGGGTTGCATCAAGTCTAAAGTAAACTGTACGTGCAGCTCATTACTAAACCTTTTGATTTAGATCCTTCTATCTTGTGTTTTTTCAACACATTCTTTTGTGTTATTGTTCATGTGAACTTTTCAGTTCATATTGTTTGTTTGAACCCATACAAATTGAAATACATAACATTTGTGGTGGTATTTGTAGTTTTGTTAGGCTGTACTTAGTTTCTTGGGTGGCTATAGACAACACTGCTTAGTACTCACAATGCTATTTAGGTCCTTTTTGGTACTCATTTTTGTAAGAATGAGAATGAAAAATATAGTCGTTACGGTGTTCATACAAGAGATAGAAAGTCAAATATGGTGATTTGATGTGATGGATAACAGTCATATTTTTCATTTTTGTGACCAAAGAATGGGAATCAAACGGGGGCTTAGTTTTCTGGATGGCCTATAGACTGAGTCTGAGATGTAACTCGTGAATGCTATTCCTTGCTAGGTTATATCAAGTTGCATTATCTGCTAAATTGATCGCTATTCCACATGTAAAAACATTTGGCCATTAATTACTCTGCCAAATAACAATTTAGTGAAATATTAGTCAGTTCTAGACTGTATATCACTAGCATATGCTATGTAGTAAGTGCACAGGACAGGTTTTAATCAGTCTTTTATTAATGCTATTTACAGCCGGGTGTTCTGGGACAAGAGGATCTCTCAAGAAGTAAGTGGAGATGCTTTGGGTGAGGTATGACTCCAGTAAACAAATGAAGTTTTACTTGTATTGTTCTAGACTTCTAGTGCTGCTTTAAAACCCAATGATTATGTTGACGATATTACGTTGACATGCATATAACCAAATTATGTGTAGGAGTTCAAGGGCTATGTGTTCAAGATTATGGGAGGGTGTGACAAACAAGGTTTCCCAATGAAGCAGGGAGTTTTGACTCCAGGTCGTGTTCGTCTTTTGCTGTCTCGAGGTATGCGGAACGAAGACTTAGGGTGTGAATGATTACATTTATTTTTCATGGAAAATATCAGTTTTCCATTCAAATTCCTACTTAGAGTGTTTGATTGCTATTTTTTTTTATGGAAAATATTTTCCAACTTTTGAAAATATGCCTAATTTTCCTTGTTTTTAAGGAAAACATTTTCCTTGGGTAGATATGATTTTTATTTTCCACAAAAGATGGAAAATATTTTCTTTTCTATGTGATATTTTCCATGCCAATCAAACACACTCTTAGTGTGCCCTCCTTGTTGGTTAATTTAATAGTTTTTTTTTTTTGGGATAATTGCAGTAGAGGCCCCAAGCCTTTTAAACATTGGCAGACCTTTCTGAATCCTTTAATTTGTTGCAACCGTCACTTCAAACCTTTTGAAATGTTGTGACGGGGGTTCTTTTGAACGGTTTTCATCCAAATATCTGTTAGTTGATTAAGAAATTTGATTTTGACAATATTTTTAATATTTTTAGAAGTGTAAAATAGTAACTTTCCTTTTACTACATTAAAATAAGTTAAACTAAATTAGAAAATAAAAACACACCTCTTTCCCCCCCCCCCCTTCCCCACCCCCACCCCCAAAATCTGTTTGCTGCTTTCACAGATTCTGAGATTTTGTTTCATTGACGTTGTCCGTATGGTTGTGTTATTGGGTGGCGTTATTGAAGTGGTAGTTAGTTAATATGCCTGGCTTTATTCGATTGCTGTTAATCATCTTATTGCCCCAGCCGTTAACCATTTGCCTTCCATACATATATTGCTAGTGTTGAAAATATTTGTCATCCTCACCCTCCTATTTAAGTTTGGAATTAGTCACTCGAGTTTCTTTTCTTCGAGTTAAAAATTGAATGTGGCATGTGAAAATGTTGATGGGAGTTTGAGAAATTGTTGTTTGTTTATTAATTTGAATGTTTTCCTGTTAAAAGGGGTGACTTTTCTAAAATGACTGGCCTGCAGCCGGCAAGCTATGCTATGTAAACTCTTGAGTGATAAACTTGCATGTGGAACACTGATAGTGCTCTTTTTGGTAATATAACATTGAACCCGTAATGAGCGATCTTGCTATTTTATATGTCCCGTGACTTGAGCTATCTGTTTTCTATCGACTTTGGAGCCTTTCAGTTAACTGAATTTTGAGAGGCACTGCTATTAGGAACAACAACGTATTACTATAGGCCCATTCCTGGCTTCTCGTACTATTGTAAACCAATACACTGGGCTGATGATTTTGCAATATTAAGGCAAATAAAATTTGAAATTCTTTGAACTCAATCTGTATGTAACTCATCTATTAGTTGTGTTATGGAGTTAGGGAGTTGTACTCGATATAATTGTTACCCTTCAGGCGATTGCAAGTGGAACAACGTGGAGAGAATTACTCTGCACACGGTGTATATGGTCAAATAAGAAAAGTGTTATTCTTGGGGTACATAGGAGGCACGTAAGGGTGTCCATTTTGGACACCTGGTGGGGCCCACTATTGGAGGGCTTCATTAGAAAATTGGTTGTCATGAAAGTTGATTCTTGAAAAAGGGGTGTGGATTGTAAAAACTATATTGCGTCTCTCAAGATGTTAAATTGAAGCTTGATGGTGGACTTGCATATTCTTTTGGATGCTCTCTTTCAAGCAAAATAAATGGTAAAGGATTTTTTTGCATGTATATCAAGATTTACATAATGGATTTAAACTTGACACTTTACCATTTGTTAGTGCAAGGTACAATCAATTTTTTTTCATTCGATTTTTTCTTTCACATGATATTATGCCATTCATTATGTATGCTTTTATTTTTTTTTTTTTTTATGTACAAGTAGCAAAATTTCCCTAAAAAAATGTAACCGTAACACCATCAACAACCATTTCAATGTTGCCATTCAATAACGCATGTGGGCAAGTAGTCAATGTAATGATTCGCCAAATAAGGTGAGTTCACAAAAAATCCGAAGAAATCGCAAAGTTATACATTCTATAGAATATTAGGTTGAATTCTAAATCTGTTCGGAAAAAAACCCTAAGAATTCGCAGAGACAGTGGGAAGATGCACCCCTATTGTTAGAAGAGATGAGGAAAAGAAAGCGCCACCCATTCATGTAAAGTCGCTCCATATATTATAATTATTTTCTTTTTGCTAAAGCAAACTACGAAAATGTAAATATAAAGTATCAATATAATATGTTTCCCAGTATCACCTTCCTATTTTTATTAGGAACAAAAATCTTTTATCAGTTATAGATCAATGATTTCCATTAGTTTGATCTTTACACATGACAAGTTATTTCTTATTCACGATTGATAAGGAACTAAAATAAGCTTCCACTCCTCGTTTTACCACCTCCCACAACCCCCTTAAGCTTTCGAAACTCGATTACCTGACGATCAATAGAAGAAAATGTGCATGTTGAACTCGTCAATTCCGCACCTTAGGCACACCAAAGCAATTGGGATTTTCCTTTTAGCCAGACTGGGAAGTGTTGGCATTGAAATTTGAAGAGAGATGCAGCCATGGATCTCCAAAGATATTAAGTGTCTGTTTGACAATCATTAATTTCTTTTATGATTTGCTACATGATCATTTCCGACCTCAAATTCATACAATAAAATATTTTATATGTATACTAAAAATGTTTCCTTACTTTGTAGAATAATGACAGGGGTTGTAATTCCAGTGGAGCTAAATAACATTACTTGATCATACATTCTCCTAAAATTCACCATTTAAAACTCTTTTTTTTTTTTTTTAAACAATAATGATTGTCAAAAAGGCTCTAATATGTCCCAATGCCAACTCTCCAACTAGTTCCATCCCCAATCCCACAAGATGTTATTCAATAAGGAGGAGGAACCGGGCAAATCAGAGGTGGCTAAAAAGCAATGTCTCGTCAATATTTATTTTTTAAATCACAAGCTGCAATGCAACGTAGTTTCCGATTAACAAGTAATCTCCAACTCCCCGAGCTCGTTTTCCCCCCTTGGGCCTGCACATTTTCCACAACATTATCGAACCCACTGGAACCGGGCGCCAAATGATAGATTTCAAGTCTTAGTGGCAGTTTGAACATACTCGTAACACAAGTGGGCAATGACCCGAGGAAACCTGCTGAAAACAGCCATCTCTTCCATCCCATGACTTTATTCCATAATTTATCTTCGATCCCAGCAAACGACCTTCTTTTGTTTCCGCTTATCACTCAAGGGAACTCCAAATATTTGTCATTTACCAATCCCATGTAATCTTGTAGGATGGCTCCATTTTGAATGGAGTAATGTCCAAGTTAATTTGAGTGCTCACTGAACTTTACTTATATTTACTATTTGCTCATTAAAATATTCATTAGTTTACTCAAGGAAGCATAATGAGCTCGATACAATTTATTTACTAACTTGGCAATTGGATTTAGACCATAAAATCGTGCCAATTTTATTATAAATCAATCCTAAGAGGATCTCCAATGATGATGTAAAGTAGAGATTTAGATCTTCAAACTGACCGAAAATCTATCAAATGAAGAGATGCAAATTATATTTTCCGACAGCAAATATAACAAAAGATATATATATATATATTCACAAGAGGCAAAAAGTAATTTACATCTTTCCCTTGAAGCACAATTTGGGGTTAGATTTATCGGGATGTAAATTAAGATACAAAAGTAATTTAGAGTATGTTAATGTATACCCAATTTGTTACGTCCCTATTTGAACCACCTCGAAATGTCCACCACCACACACTCTGATCTGCAAGACACCTACCTGAAGTGGTTCCGAAGTGATCTCCCCAATGTCAGCGACCTGCTATCACACTGCGAGACATAGGTGATCCTGCTGAACTGACCGAAGTGCCCTCGCCCCTGAGACCGAGGCGAAGTGCACTCCGGAAACCTCTGTTAGAAGATTCGTCGCCAATTTCAGAAGGAGATCTCTGCCAAGATCCTTTCTGCCCCTAAGGTTTAAATTGATTTGACGTCTCCATGAGTCTAGTTGATGTGACTTATCAACTTTATGTCAACTCAACTCGGGAGAAGAAATTACCGACCCACTCTACAGACGCGGCTGATTGACACATATGAGCAGACACCTCATACCGTCAGATGTATACACGTGCCCCACATCCAACGATTTATCCTACCTATAAATACCCAAGGGTTAACAAGAGGCAAAGGTAATGAAACTTTTATGACATAGCACTCCATAGCAAGTATATATATTCTCTCCTCGCCTTTATTATTTTGCACAACCCCTGGGCACTGTTCCGACCACCTGAACCTGACTTGACCGTCGGAGTGTATACGATCGTCACCACCCCTGCTGGTCCCGACTGTGTGCATCTGACCGTGCGTTGATTGTGCGCACGGAGAAATACGTGGAGTAGCTCTCGATTGGCCACGTGGAAAGTCCAATTTTCGAGGTCAATATAATTAACAATTTTACACCACTATTAGAGATGTTCAAACCATCTATTATTTTATAGAATTTATTTACCTAATTTTGTCGAAGTTCTCGTTTCATTTTATAAATTGAGCTCTAATCATTTGAATCGTCAACCATCAATTTTGTTGTGAATCAGCCCTCGAAAATCTATTAACTTTTTATTGTATTAACTTATTGTTAAAATTTCTATTTCTATTTTTCATTCATTTTAAATAATATTAAAATCCGAACCACCCATCCGGTTCACAAACCATTCACCTATCCGACCCAAAAATGCACTGGTTATACAAACGAGTGACACAACCGAACCGATTTTCTGCAAGAGTTACGAGTAGAGAGAGATGGAGGAAGATGAGCATGTGTTGTACGGGGGAGAAATACCTGATGAAGGCGAAGATGTCGACCCTCACAATGCTGATGTCGAGATGACCACCGCTGATGACGACGCCGTCAAGGTACTATCTGTTTTGTGTGTGTGCCCGCCCTCTCGAGCTTTTTAATCATTTGCGTCTGAATGGATTTGGGAATTTGTAGCAATTATATGAGTATATCTGTTTGTGTTGGTGGGGTACTTATTGAATCTGATTAATTGTG